CCCTCCAGCACCCCCCCCCCCCCCCCCCCCCCCAGGGACTCTAAGAAGGCTGGGTACTCTGAACTGCCACTCGGCGCATAAGCGCAGATGACAGTCAGGACCCGTTCCCCGACCCTAAGGCGCAGGGAACAAACCCTCTCGTCCACCGGGAAAGACCCCAACGTACCGGCAGCAAGCCGAGGGGATATTAGAATACCCACCCCAGCCCGCCGCCTCTCACCAGGGGCAACTCCAGACTGAGACAGAGTCCAGCCCCTCTCCAGGAGACTGGTTCCAGAGCCCAAGCCATGCGTAGAGGTGAGCCCAACTATATCTAGCCGGTACCTCTCAACCTCACGCACTAACTCAGGCTCCTTCCCCACCAGAGAGGTGACATTCCATGTCCCTATTGCCAGTCTTGGCAGCCGGGGGTCAGTCCGCCAAGGCCTCCACTCCTGGCCGCCACCCGGCACACAATGCACCCGACCCCTATGGCGCCTCCTGCAGGTGGTGGGCCTGCGGGAGGATGGGCCCATGTCTCCTCTTCGGGCTGTGCCCGGCCGGGCCCCATGGACTAAGGCCCGGCCACCAGACGCTCGCCCTCGGGCACCCTCCCCGGGCCTGGCTCCAGGGCGGGGCCCCGGTAACCCTATCCCGGGCAGGGTAAACTGTTCCCTCGGTGTCCTTTTCATAAGGGTCTTATGAGTGTTTTCTTTTATGATCTTTTAATGCTTACACTACACTGTACATGTCTACATTAGAGACTGTTGTGATATTTTGATACCATGGTAGCATTTACAGGATATTGTTTTGTAGTGATATTATACAGAAAAGAGTTACTCAATAAGGCCCATTTACTAGTTGTTTTTCTCTTTCTCTCTGACCCAAGAATTGATGTGTAAGAATCACAGGCTGGTACCCCAAGGTCGAAAATACCACAGAGACGAGACCACTTCCTTACTCCCATCCTCCCTTCTTTATCTCTTAGAAAAAGGCTCGTTAAAGGCCAGGTGGTTTGTTTCAGAATTCACTAATGAAAGAACTCTGTATTCTATGTCTAGGAGTGTATTTTGCTGGGATGATCATAAATTGTAACTGAAGAGATAAACTACACAAAGGATACTTCTTTGCTCAGAAGGCAGGAAGACGTTTCCTTATTTGGTCTGTACCGGAACCTGCTGACACACGAACCTTTTGTTCCTCTATATAAGCTGTTATGTACTAAATAAACCTTTGAGTCGATTTGGGAAGGCAACCTGAAGCAGTCTGTGTTTCCTTGTTCTCCCAAGCTGCTCCCGACGTCGTAACTAACCCAGCTGAGCGGCATACCTGAGTGTTACTTTGAATAATTAGGAATCTTATAAGGAAAGGACAAAACTCTGCTTATCGCTCACGCCTTGGAGGAAACCGGGGACGGAAATTTCCTTCAGAGACATTTCTGTTTCCTGTTTCTGTTGACTCAGAGTTGTGAAATGTTCTTTTATTTGATACACAATATGAAGTTCATAATTTTCTTACAAATAAAACTCTAATGACAAACATGAACAGCTGTGCTTATTTCTGAGACATGAGTTTTTGAATGTGTTGATATTTAGACAGTGTGCATCTGTATGCTGAAACTGTAATGGTGAACCTGAGGTGATGGTCAACAGAAGGCAAATATATATCAATATAAAACAATATTGAAGTAATGTCTTTACCCTCTGCAGCGTGTGGACGCTGTGCACACAATCACCTTATTCACTGTAGTAAACATGCACCGCTAGCTCACGTGACTGACTGTCTCCATGGTTACATCGTATATTATTAGCTGTGTAAACAGCTTCCAAAGATACCGCCATAGCTCTCTGCAGCTGTAACACTTTCACACTTTGCAAATCATTTCATGGTTTTGATAGTTATGAAGACAGAATATGTTTTTAAGGTCATGCTAGGCGGTTGCTATGGTGGTTGCTGTGGACTTGGGTGGACCGCGTCCGATTCCTGTTATTAGCTGTCCGCCGTAGGAAGGCTGCGTTCCATTTACAAGTAGTGACAGTCTGCCGCAACTCGAACTCAAACCCCGCTTTGTTCTTTAATTATAGGCCTTTTATAGCCGTTCATGACACGCACACACACACATAAAGCATTTTGCCTCACCATGAGAATGCAAGTTTACCTAACCTAACCTTAAAGTATCTGATATAGGATAGAAAAACGAAGCAACCAGAGATTTAATGATGAAGACTCTGGGTTCTGTAGTTCACGTTTTACAGTCCTGAATGACTCTTTGCATATGATTTATTGAAGAGGACTTTAGAATGCACTTTACATTTAGACTGTTGCTGTTTCATTTTTTACATTGTCGCGGTGTTATGTCATGAATAAGGTTCACCTGCTGGGGGTTTGATGGATCAGCTGGACAATTCAGTCAAAGACAGACTTCATTCATCATATGCAAGAATCCTAGTTGGATTTTTGTTGTCACTCATATTTTTGAACCAAATATTGAAAACAATTCTGACAGACTGGATACCTGGTCAGGGTGTACATTACCTTGTACTCAAGTATCCCAGGACAGAGCCCTGCCCCACCATGAGCCTGGGTGGATACGTGGTTATTAATATAAAAGGACCAATACTGAATATGAATATTTCATGAAAATTGAATTATAATACAAATTAGTAATAAGGGTTTCTCTGCGCCCTTATCTACTCCATACTCAGCTGCGGGCAGAGAGGGTGACAGGCGAGGATGGCACTGAAGAGAAGATGCTCGGTTTCTGGAGTCTCCTGGTCCTGTCAGTATTAGTAGGATGCATCTGCTGTGTCTTCTCGTGGATGCTCACCTACCTTGACTCGTTCCAGCCTGGTATGGATTTCCCAACACTGTGGACAGTGGCCCACGTCAGAGACGTTTAATATTGATTACATATGTCTGAATTGCTAACCCTAGCTCAACAGACCACAATGCCCTGGACTGTCAGTATAGTTACATGCTGTGAACATAAGTACCTTTGATCACAGTTTGTGTTGTAAAAGAGAAGGAATATTGAAAAAAAGATCAACATTGTGATATTATTTCTTCCAAACTGACCAGAAACATGCTTGTCAGACTCTCACAGCAAAGGATCAGACTCACTGTGCATGACGGCTCAGGCCAATGATGTCTGTTAAGATTGTCAGTTGTTTACTGCTTCTGTACAGTTAGGGTCACGTCTCTATTTCAGAATAATTAATATGCGGAAAACACTAAAAGTTGATTGTCTTCCAATATTCTAGCATAATTAAAAAACTTTGACTTTGTAAGTACATATTATTAGTCCTAATGCCAGTATGAGTCTTCATAACTCCTGCTTTGAAATACTGAACTTTGAAATTTACCTGATGAAAGATAGTTTACAGTGGCACTCTGTCAGGATCATTCTGACTATAAGATCACTGTATTAATCTGAATCCTTCTGAAATGTGCTGTGAATGAATGCTGATGCAACTCACTGTGGGAAAGCTGCTAATAAAATGAATCTGTGACACATGCAACACGTTCACAGAGGAAGAGGACTCAAAGGGAGGACACGCAGAGGCTGTGTTGAAGTCAGAAATCCAAATCTTTATTAAAAAAAACAGGCGGCGGTTACAAACAGGAAGACAAGCAGTCCATCAAACAGTCTACAGGGTCAAACATTCAGAGAATTTAAACAGCAGTAAAAAATAACTGGACACTGAAAAACTTAAAGCAATGTGTGACGCAATAGAAGGAAGCAGTGTGTTACTGTGTTGTGTTGTTTGTTACGTTGTGATGTGTCATATCGTGTTGTGTTATATGTAGTGCCGACGTAGGACAGTTTTTCCAATTTCATTGTACTACTGTACTATGTATGACTGTGCAATGACAATAAAGAGTTATCTTATCTTATCTTATATTCACTGAATTATCATCAATTACAAAAGAGAAAAATGACGATTTCTAAGGATTATTTTCTTAAATGCAATTAGAGTGTGGCTGGTAAAGATGGAAACATACAGAATGTAAACTGTGTGAGTTTGGTGAACTTTGTTAGTAACAAATGAGGTAAAAAAAACAACCCCAAAACATACAAAACACAGAAAGAGGCTCTCAGTATTCATTAATAATTAGAAAGAAAAATTCTGGTCGTGGATTTTTACAGTCTTAGTTCCGCTCGCTGTCATCATTATAATCATCATGATAAATGGCGAGGTCCTGAGGTGGGTGGGGCTGTCTCTGTGATGTCACCATGAAGGAACAGCATCTGGCACGTGTTGGTGAAACATCCCAGTACACTGGTGTAGTTTCCTCTCCAGCTGTTTGACATGTGACACTTGAATAGTGTTAGGTCAGGTGACCACATGGTTTCTAAAGTAACTGACAGGAAGTAACCAGGCCGTCAGAAATGGATGGCATGTGTGTAGAGTTACTGGAGTTGGGTAACTCTACTTACCAAAAGCAGAAGCACACAGATGAAGGATCAGATGCTGAATGTTGCAGGAACATGCTCATGTGTGGTGGTCATTCAGTGCTGCTCCGGCAGGTTAGACAGTCCAAGACTGATATGCTGCCCATCTGAGAGTTTGAAAACACACATGGAAAGATTTATTTTGTGTTACAGTCAAAGTTGGATGTTCATTTTTGTCCTTTAAAAATGTTTGTGTATTTGAAAGCACTAACATTTAAGGATGACTTGGATTGTCTCCTTTAAAGAGGAGACAAGTGTATCCACTGATCTACGTCACTTTACCTGGATAATGACTCCTCCCCCCTCACTCAGAAACACTCCTAATATAACCAAGCAAATAAATAATATTGAAGATTTACTTACATCATTACAAAAACATCAAAAACATCTCCCTTTGATTCTATTTCTCCATTCCTGCTGAACATCAGGCAACAAATATCTCAATAAATCACAGTAAAATGTAAAGCACATGTTTTCTCTGCTTTGTCTAACCTCTGCAGAGCCTCTGTCAAGAAAAACATAACTGTAAGCATAAAACAAATATACATTCATAACACGTCACTGGACAAACCTCGGTCAGTTGATTTCCTCTGTGCAGTGCAGATGAGCATCAGTCAGCAAGTGACTCTGCTGGTTCTTCTGAGGAAACACCACCGTCTCTCCACACCGTCACCATCTGTGAGCACAAACTGCTGCTCTGCCAGCATGTAGGAATCACATATCACACACACAGGGGTGAAGAAACATCAGAGCTCAACTTTGGATACTTTAGATCTAAACAGATCAAAGTAGCTCTTAGTTTCAACAATCAGTGAGCAGACAAACAATGATACCAAACTGATTCTGTATGAATACAATATGGTATTTTCAATACAGGTGTCAAATTAATTTATTAAAACTAATACAGATATATGTATATTTTTTTTGATAAATTAGTTTGCTAAATTATAAGAATATATATATTTTTTCATTTAACAATTGCAACTAAAAGAAATTAAATATTGAACAAAAATATATTGTCACATTCTTTGCATGCTCAGCATGCTGAAAGACTTGAAGTTGCTACAGATTTTAAGAAGTGATAATTATAGGGAAGAAACTTCTCTTTTTCATCCGTTTAATCAAACATTTGATGCCTCAGCTGTCTCAGTCCTATAGCGTTCTGCAACTACAACTAACCTGAGGCTTGGATTTGGCTGCAGGTGCCCCTGTACATCCTTCTCAGCAGCACACATGTGGGTACCATTTAATCCCACTTCTTCCTGAGCTTTGCTTCATCACAAGACCAAAGGTGGCATCCCGTGTCACAGTCTTATCATCATCCAGAAGAAACATTTGAAGAAACATTTACGCGCCTCCTGGTTTTGTTTTCTGATCCTGCGAAAAGACTGAGGACAACAAAGCCCAGAGAACACAAGATACACAACATCCAACATTCAGACTCAACAGCCTCCATAAATGAAGAGCACCAGGTTGGTTCAGTTATAGTAGATATGAGCATACTTCACATTACTGGGTATGAATAATAATGAGGAGGCAAACTTTGACGATGCAGAGCATGATGTCCCATCATCAGACTGTAAACAAACATCCACCAGGCTTCTTTGTTGCCAAAATTGATGATTCTCCTATCAGGGATCAGTAGCGTGTATTAACCTGTGGTACAAGCAGCAGTCACTGAAATATTACTGTTTCAGATAAGAAATCTAGGACATAAAAGCCAGAGTGGGAGGGATCTCTGCAAACTGACTTAGGTCTGCAAGTGTGAAGCTCAACAAAAATCTGACTCTCCAGTCACAGACAAACAAAAACTCCAGCTGGGAGATAGAAAATGCTGTCTGGAGGAGCCCCCTGGTCTGTCATCCTGCCCCCCCCCCAGTAAGGGGGACTCCCCACAACTATGTATGCATACATGTTTTCAGTTCATTCCAGACTTCCTGATGCATTTTAATCAGTTATCACTGCCTTGTTATTACATTCCTGCTTATTACACAGAAAGTGTCAGAGGTGCTCTGGCCCTTTATTGTCATTTTACATGTACAACCAAATTATGAGTGCTCCATAGCAACTGTGGGGGTATAAGATATAAATAGTAAAACAGCAGGAATAAATAACAAACAGGAGAAATATATACAATCAAGCAAAATATATGAAAGTTACTGAGACCATGGGTCAGATTGGTGAGGTGAGTGGGCAGGGGTGGAGCGTAAGAGGATAGGGTTTGTTAACAGCCTGAATGGCCCAGGCGAACAAGCTGTTTGTGAGGTAAAGACCCTACATTAATAGAGAGAAAACACTGAAAACCCCAACATGATATGACTCCCTATGAGAATGTGCTTTGGCAACAATGGGAAAGAAAAACTTCAATTTATCAGGAAGAACCCTCGTGAAGAACCAGGCTCAGGGAGGAGGAGCCATCTTTCGCTCTACATTATTATATTCCTTTCTTCTGGTATTATTATTATTAATAATATTGTTGTTGTTGATTTTGTTGCTGTTGTTTTTGTTTTTGCACTCATTACAAAACTTAAATAACCACGTGAGGTTATATGCATATTCACTTCTGTAAACACTAGCTAGTCATTTTATTGGAGGGGTCATTCACAAGCAAAAAGAACAGAAACATCCTTGCTTATGATGTTTCTGTTCCATTATGATCTCTCTGTTTGTAGAAAAGTTCAGTTCTCTGTAATGTAATGTTTTTGGTAAATTATTCCTGTCTGTGTGTGTGTGTGTGTGTAGTCAATCCATATGCTGGCCATTATTTTAACTGCGCTACGGCAGCTTCTCTGTACTGTCATAGAGCTAAATTGTGCCTAGTTTTGCCTGTAGGTGTTCTTTTTTTGTTTGTTTTTGTTTTAGTTTACAGCTAAAAAAAAGAAAATACCTTAGTGGTTAATAACCAAAGTAATATGCTTACTTTCTTGCTGAAAGTAAGATGTGAAGATGGCTATCAGCCTAAAATCTGTGTGTTATACAGGCCTCTTCATTGTTATTATTATTTATATAGCACCAAATCACAACAACAGTAGCCTCAAGGTGCTTTACAGGGAGTGCAGAATTATTAGGCAAATGAGTATTTTGTCCACATCATCCTCTTCATGCATGTTGTCTTACTCCAAGCTGTATAGGCTCGAAAGCCTACTACCAATTAAGCATATTAGGTGATGTGCATCTCTGTAATGAGAAGGGGTGTGGTCTAATGACATCAACACCCTATATCAGGTGTGCATAATTATTAGGCAACGTCCTTTCCTTTGGCAAAATGGGTCAAAAGAAGGACTTGACAGGTGCAGAAAAGTCAAAAATAGTGAGATATCTTGCAGAGGGATGCAGCAGTCTCAAAATTGCAAAGCTTCTGAAGCGTGATCATCGAACAATCAAGCGTTTCATTCAAAATAGTCAACAGGGTCGCAAGAAGCGTGTGGAAAAACCAAGGCGCAAAATAACTGCCCATGAACTGAGAAAAGTCAAGCGTGCAGCTGCCAAGATGCCACTTGCCACCAGTTTGGCCATATTTCAGAGCTGCAACATCACTGGAGTGCCCAAAAGCACAAGGTGTGCAATACTCAGAGACATGGCCAAGGTAAGAAAGGCTGAAAGACGACCACCACTGAACAAGACACACAAGCTGAAATGTCAAGACTGGGCCAAGAAATATCTCAAGACTGGTTTTTCTAAGGTTTTATGGACTGATGAAATGAGAGTGAGTCTTGATGGGCCAGATGGATGGGCCCGTGGCTGGATTGGTAAAGGGCAGAGAGCTCCAGTCCGACTCAGACGCCAGCAAGGTGGAGGTGGAGTACTGGTTTGGGCTGGTATCATCAAAGATGAGCTTGTGGGGCTTTTTCGGGTTGAGGATGGAGTCAAGCTCAACTCCCAGTCCTACTGCCAGTTTCTGGAAGACACCTTCTTCAAGCAGTGGTACAGGAAGAAGTCTGCATCCTTCAAGAAAAACATGATTTTCATGCAGGACAATGCTCCATCACACGCGTCCAAGTACTCCACAGCGTGGCTGGCAAGATATATATATATATATATATATATATATATATATATATATTTTTTTTTATCTTATTCTTTCCCAGTTAAATTTACCCTTCATTCTAATTTGTGTTGTACAGTTATTTCATTTTTAACCTTAATTTATATTTTATTCCTTCCTAGTTAAATTTACCCTTTTTAATTTTTCATATTTATTTCCTGTCTTATTCATAGCCTTTTCCTTTTTTGTTTTCTTTAGGTCACGAGCAGTTGTCCAAGCATTTCACTACATATCGTACTGTGTATGACTGTGTACGTGACAAATAAAATTTGAATTTGAAAGGGTATAAAAGAAGAAAAACTAATGACATGGCCTCCTTGTTCACCTGATCTGAACCCCATTGAGAACCTGTGGTCCATCATCAAATGTGAGATTTACAAGGAGGGAAAACAGTACACCTCTCTGAACAGTGTCTGGGAGGCTGTGGTTGCTGCTGCACGCAATGTTGATGGTGAACAGATCAAAACACTGACAGAATCCATGGATGGCAGGCTTTTGAGTGTCCTTGCAAAGAAAGGTGGCTATATTGGTCGCTGATTTGTTTTTGTTTTGTTTTTGAATGTCAGAAATGTCTATTTGTGAATGTGGAGATGTTATATTGGTGTCACTGGTAAAAATAAATAATTGAAATGGGTATATATTTGTTTTTTGTTAAGTTGCCTAATAATTATGCACAGTTATAGTCACCTGCACACACAGATATCCCCCTAAAATAGCTAAAACTAAAAACAAACTAAAAACTACTTCCAAAAACATTCAGCTTTGATATTAATGAGTTTTTTGGGTTCATTGAGAACATGGTTGTTGTTCAATAATAAAATTATTCCTCAAAAATACAACTTGCCTAATAATTCTGCACTCCCTGTATAAAACTTTTATTCTTATGCTTTGAATAAACATGTCAGATTTTCATAAAACATTCATTTGTATGTTATAATGTTTTTCTACACCATGTGTAATTTTTATAGAACCTTTCTTTATTCTATGTATAATCATGTATCTTTGAAAAATAAAATATCTAATCTTATCTTTTGTACTTTGTGGTTATTGAATAAATATTAGCCACTGTGGTGGGGTGTGGTCTGCGGTGCGGCTGCAAGGTAGGCGGACGCATGTGGACGACAATCACACCTCGCTGGCTTAAAGTCTGAATTCAGTCCTGACTGTTTGTTCATGTTGGAGTTTGTGGCTGCAAGCTGGAAAGCTGCAGCCAGTGTGTGAACGACAAGCGTGAATAAAGTGCATGCTGAAAAGCATGGAAACATGGTCGGGTCTGCCGTAGATTAATTACAGCCACATATAAACTGATAAAAACAGATGGCTGAAAGAAATGTTTGATGGAAAAAGGAAAAAGAGTGTTGTGCTGCTAAACTTTGAGGTTCTAAGTCACCAATGTTTAAATAAGAAAATGCCAAGAGGAGACTAGCAGCCCTGAGTCTGCATGCAAAACATGAAAACTCCATAGCAGTGATACTTGTTCTTACATAAGTGCAAACATAGGTGGTATTGTGCAAGTGAAACAAGAACATATCATTTTACAGTACATTTTTGCCATCCTGTGATCTCATTTGCCACATTCTCCTAACATCTTAGAGCTATTTCCAAACAAGAATGTTTATGTTAGATTCTGTTTTAACATGTCACCAATTATAATTCTGACTTTGAAGTAAAGACACTTTTTGTTTTGGCTGTTTTTAATCAGTTCCAGTCGTGTTCAACCCCCATTTAGATTTACTTTCCCAAACTTTGTGGCACTAATGATTCTGTGTCCAGGTTTAAAACACCTGCTCTCTGAATTTGTACAGAAATTCTAGTGTAAGTCTGAGTTTTGGGCTGCTTTGGAGTATTAGTTGTTTTATATTACCCGAGTCCTGAGTAAAGTGTGGTATAAATGCAGGCATGGTCTCAGTGTTTTCTTCAGTGTTCTGGCTGATGTTGTTGAAGCCACAGTGAGCATTTTTGTCCGTTCACCAGTGTGGCGGTATTTGAAAAATATACATCACGGGTGAAATGAAGATGGTTAAACTGTTACATCGCAGCTTTAATTTGAATTAACGTGTTTGTCTGTCTGCAGGCTTCTCAGCCAGACGAGCTGACCATTGAGGAGCAGGAAATCTTGGAGGTCATCGATGATGGCGACATGGAGGACTGGGTCAAGGTACAAAAATAACACAAACACAGTTATGTAGCAGAAGCACTCTCATGTTTGAGGGTTGGTTGTTTTGTGTATTAGTTCACTCTCTGGCTCTTAGACTGTTTGACAAACATTTAGTTTCAGTTTTTATAAGACCTCGCACCGGTACGGACTATCTACTGGACGTTTTAGTGTTTCTCTGGGATCAGCTGGACTGATGTGGCTTCAGGAATTAGAATAATTCAACTAAAATGCGTGCGGTGCATTGGGGCAGGTCAGGTTGGCCTGGGTGGTAGAAGCTCTGCTGAACATAAAGACAAATCAAAAAATGTACAAATACACAGTTCTCTGCTTCTTTTTTTCGCCCCGCAGCTGTAAAGGGCTGATGGGAGATTCTCGTCACCCAGCCGGGCAGGCAGGTGGGCGGGCATGGCTGAGAGTCTGACAGGGGTCAAGTGGTGGAACGACACTTGACCCCCGACTTGAACGACACGTCTCCCTCATGCATGAATAACACGAAGAACTTTGCCTACTTGGTGTTCAATGCTTTTGCTGTGTAATTATATTGTCTTCAACGTTCCAGCGAATAGGTTCAAGCTACAAACCTATCATTAATTGGTCCTTCGAGAGCCGGAGCCCTGGAGTCGACATTCACCGAGGGGAGAAGAGACACGCTGAAAGACTGAGGTCAGCCAGGAAGTTCCTGTAGTAAAGTCCCGAGACGTGAGAATTTGTCATCGGGCAGGTGGATTAGCTGTCTGTTTTCTCTCCTCGATGAATGACGATCGGCGGGATTCGAGGCTGATATTACATGCTAAGCAACACCAAGTAAGTTTAAGTCTTTGCCACTGCATCATGTTTTTGTTATTTGTTTTGTTGGGTTGAAAAATAAATAAACTTGTGATCATACTCATGGATCACCATGGCACATATCACCAGCCATATGATTTATTTATGCACATGAAAAAAGTGAGTGTGAATGTGTCTGACGTCACAGTGTTTTTGTGCGCTGTGTAAAAGTAATTGCCTCCAATTGTGAGAGCGGTGATTCTGCAGGTCACCAGCTATTGTAAAGAAAAAAAAGAGTGAAAAAGAGACAAAATTTACATTGTAGATGAAAAATAATCATAGGAAAAAGGTTTTGTGTTGATCAGCCAAGAACAACTACAATTTCATTTTCTGCTTTTAAGAAAGGAAACATGCAGGCCAAGTTTCTGGCTGACTTATTTACGGTGCCATGTGTTTCTCAAACTCACAAGCGAGCTCTCACTCCTCCCTGAAGACAAGGAATGCAGCTCCAAAGAGCAATAACATGGCAGATAAAGAGACAGCAGCAAAGTCCTGAGCAAAGAGTCCCAGCAAGCAGCAGCAGTGTGGACGAACAGCATCAGAGAAGAAGAGCAAACCCATCACCCTGCCTGATTGGATGAATGGCACTGTGTTTCCAACAAGCTGCAACTTCACTGTGCATGTGACAAGAACATTTGAGGAGAACTGAGGAGACTGTAGGAGTTTGACATTTGCCACTGTCGCGGTTCGAATTTTTGAGGAAGAGACATAGGACAGAAAGTCCATAGTGGGTCAACACAAATGATTTTATTAAAATACATATGTGGTGAAGATGGGCTCTGCAAAACATCAGGCTCAATCTCCCGCCTGACAATAGGTGGGTGTGATATTTATACTTATGATGACCAGTAACTCCAGTGAGGACATATTCTAAAAAAGGAACCGCTACTTCCTCTGTTCCTCCAGATGCTTCCTGTTATTCTACTCTCTGCACTTCAGAACAGAGCATGAGCATACCGTTTACAAGCAACACAAGTCTGTGTGCAGGCAGACTTATGTCTGTATTTTAACCTCAGTACATGACCTCACTCAACAAACAAAGACATTTTAGAAGTATACTTCCTGACTCCGTTTGAGTCATCTGTTACCAGGCAAACTCCAATGCAGCAGGCTGCTGAATGCACACAGGCAATATGTAGTAAATTATACTGTAAACATGTAGGCAACCTTTCAATAGCTGAACTTTGCTCCATTGATCGGCCAGACATCGCGCTGCCCGTAGCTTCAAACCATTAATTAACTTGACCAAGCTTCAACCCTTTAATTATGCAATATGTGTATAACATGATTACAGTTGCACCTGCAATGAAAGATTATTATGTGCTTATGCTAACACCTGAAATACAGACTTTAATATAACATCATCAGTTTCAATAAATGTGTCAATGAAATGACAATAATGATAAATCATAAATGATGCAACAGTAATAATAAGGATTATGAATAGTAACATAGATTATGAATGTAAAATAATATTTCATCTCTATACTCCTCCTCTTTGGCCTCGAAAAGGCCAACACTCCTCTTATTGTCTCACTCCTCGGGCCACGCAGCCACCTCCTCTTTGAGTGAAATGATGCTCTGCGATCCTTCTCTTCTTTCTTCAACTTCCCAGGTAGACTACTGGTTAGTCGTTGCACGGGTCAGAGGGTTTATTCTGCCTCTGTTTTGCCACCCGTGTTATTTGGAGATGAGCTTGTCTCCACCAAACTCTCATCTGCTACTGCACATTGAGACCAATGGAACTAGGTCCCGCCTGTCCCCTTCAACTGGACTGCTGTTGTGGTACGAGCCGTCACTTTTGGAGCTTGGCACGCTCCCTTCATACCTCAGGTTCTCATGTTCCAACGCTGCTGAAGATTTAAGGCAGAGCACGTCGTACACCTTAGTTGTCTTCCTCAATGTCCACGATGAATCTCTCATTTTATTTAAAACGTTGCTGTGGGAAGACTCCTCTCAATCTCCTGCACCTCACGACACCTACAAATTAAAATGACCCTCCTCTTGCACCTGGCTTCCGCCATGTGTCAACTCCCTACTGAGACCTGTACAAGAATGTTACACATTCTCTCTAAAACAATCTCCCGCCAACCTGTAACCCTGTGTAAAAACATTAGTCAGCAGTTACATGTTAAGCTCATTTAACTTCATCTGCTTCTCTCACCCCAACCGGTCGCAGCAGATGGCCGCCCCTCCCTGAGCCTGGTTCTGCCGGAGGTTTCTTCCTGTTAAAAGGGAGTTTTTCCTTCCCACTGTCGCCAAAGTGCTTGCTCATAGGGGGTCATATGATTGTTGGGTTTTTCTCTGTATCTATGAAGCGCCTTGAGGCGACTTTTGTTGTGATTTGGCGCTATATAAATAAAATTGAATTGAATTGAATTGAATTAACTCCCAGCTCCACCTGGAACCTGTATCCTGGAAAACAAATCTGTTAAATCAAACATCTTATTTACAACCAACTATAAATCATGAAAGCGATAAAGTATTCAGCATAACAGACAAGTATCATGTTCAGGATTTCTCAAATCATTAAATCACTATTAGTGCCACAATTTATTTTATCCACAATTTAATCAGTGACTTCCTTAAGCAATGTCACTCCACTTGTTTTATCACTATGAGCCCCCTATTAAACTGTTCCATAAAAACTGCATCTCTTATTTGTTTTCTCATGTCCCTTGTCTGTTTTGTACCGAATCCTCCACATGCACTCTTAACAAAAGCAAAACAAACATTAGCAACACATTGACCATCTCGGGTTAGGCGTCAGCCCTCCACATTCCAGAGGTGCTATAAAAAGATTTCCTGTAAAAAGAATCACACTGTTTTCAAGACCGGATGTGTCTCCCCCCATATTCACTCCCCTGTAGTATTCAACATTTTCCCAAGAACACAGTTTAATAGCATCACCAACTCATAACCTATAAACACAGTTTCTTCACACATAAGCCCAGAAATCCTGTAGTAGGAAAACATTATTAGAAAACATTAACTATTTGTCCAGTTATAAATCACATATTCAAAGCACATTAAGAACTGTAATGCTGTAGAGAAGAAAATGCAAATGTTAACGCTGCACAGGTGTATACACCCTTTCTCACAGTAATCTCTGTGAGCAACACAAACCCCTGAACAACACACCTGTTAGATTCACAAACACAGAAAGTGGCATTTAAAAGTTAAATCGTCATGCAACCTCAGATGTTGCTGTCATCCTTCTGCTCCTGTAAAAGAAACACACATAAATTCATCCACCCTTTTGGCCTATCTAGGTGGAGGTTAACCTTGAGTCGTGGTCAAGTCTTGTCAGCTTTTACCAGTCAGTCAGTTTGTTTTTATTTCCAGTCTTTCATTCATTCATTCATCCATTCTTTGCTGATAGTGGAAACCATCGCCGCATTTAGATTTCCGCGCTCAGCAAAATGACGTCATTTCAAAAAGAAAAACTCATGACTCATAAAGTCACAAACATGCTGCCAGCTGCTGTTTGCAGTAAAGTCAAGCTGTGTGTCTAGTATATTTGTCATGTGACTCCAGACCTTTATTATAAACATGTAAGTGACTAAACTGGGAAGAAAGTCAGTGTATTTCACCTGTATCTGTGTCACAGATACTAAAAACTTTCTGGTTTCTCAGCAAAAGTAAAGGAATCTGTTCAATTTCAATTCTATTTAATTTATATAGCAACAAATCACAACAACAGTCACCCCAAGGTGCTTTATATCATAAGGCAAAAACCCAATAATAATACAGACAAAATCCCACCAATTAGATGACCCCCCCCCCTTCCTTAGAGCAAGCACTTAGTGACAGTGGGGAGGAAGAACTCCCTTTTAACAGGAATAACACTCCAGGAGTTCCAGGCTCAGGGAGAGACAGCGATCTGCTGTGACTGGTTTGGGGTGAGGGGAGGAAGACGGGAAAAAAGACACACTGTGGAAAAGAGCCAAAGATTAATAACAAATAATGATTAAAAGCAGAGTGGAGCATAAGAAAATAAATCCAATAAAACCACATCATGGGAAGCCTCCGGCAGGCTAGACCTATTGTAGTGTAACTAAGGGAGGATTCAGTCACCTGATCCAGCCCAACTATATGCTTTATGAAAAAAAACCCCAAAAGGTTTAAGCCTTAACAGTAGAGTGTGTCTGACTCTGGTTGCACAGAAGAGGGCCCCGAAAGCTGAAGGCTCTGCCTCCCTTTCTACTTTTAAAAATCCCTCAGAACCAAAAGTATATTTGATGACTTTATGGTGTACCTTTGTGAGTTATACCAGGGAGTCCATTAGCTCTAAATTTGAGGAGCACAGTATGCAGACTTGAACGCACTGAAGATGTAACACTATTAACAAGATAATCAACCTCTGTGGGAGTAGCGTTTAGGTAGCTCCCCTGCACTGTGTTGGCACATGGTTCATTGAAAGCATCAACTTTCCCTCACTGTGATGCACAACAGTTTAACAGTAAGACTTTATGCCTAAAACCAGGACTTTGAAACTTCATTTAACATTTTAGGTGAATTTCTTGTTTAAAAACAGTTGCTTCTGTAGTGTTATAACAACATTTTTGTAAGGACACTGTTTTCATTTCCCCTCCCTTTAGGACCCTGTCATCAAGATACCATTCAGCAATGTGTACCAGCATGTGTGCACATACCGGGACCTGTACTATAAAACATTTGAGCTTCCCGCCTGCCCACCTGGTGTAGACCCGATCGTCACCTACCCTGTGGCTTTGAGTTGCCACTGCGGTCGCTGTGCCATGGACACATCTGACTGCACCTTTGAGAGCCTGCAACCTGACTTCTGCATGAATGACATCCCTTTCTACTACTAAAAGAAGCTCAATCATATTTAAACACATTATACAGAGTATACGGAAGCTGCCCTGTTGTTTAGAATCAACTAGTAATTACAAAAAAAAAAATGTTTCTGCTATCGAAATAAACACATGATGAATATTTCTCTCAAACAGTGTCTTAAAAAAAGATAAAAGGTAATTGACGCCTGACGTCTGAAAGTTGACGCCACAGCTGGAGTAACTTTAACTTTCCTCATATCCTAAGGCCAGCAGAGATTCAAAATGACATCTGTGTAAAATTTACATGGAAAAAAGTTCTTTCTGTAAAGTGATATATAACCTAATTCAACAGTTTATGAAGAATTTATGTCCCATTGCTAGTTTCAAGTCTTACTGATGTGACACGATGCATTCACTTCATAAACTGTGGATCCGATTACAGTCAGCCTTAGTAACTCTAATTTGTGACTCTAATTGGATTTCATCTACTTTAATTGGACATTAAAGTAGGCAAGAAAACTACATTGAAGATGGTTGAGCTGGCTAAACGCTGGTGGTAGAGATGAAGATGGCGGCTTGAATGGATCACCTATTAGTGAAGAAACGATTTGACTTTTACCAATGGGATCTTAATATCATAGCTGTTAACCTCCCTTGTGGCCATAAAATGTGGAAGCTGCAATGCCCATCATGTTGAAAAGAAAGTTCAAGTTCTCTGTTCAGCTAAAAGAGACTTTTTCACTGGGATGTCAGACCTCAGGATCTTAAGCAGAGAAACAGCCAGTTTTTTATTGATGAAAAATGTATTTCTTTATTTCTTTATGTGAAATAATTATGGAAGATAAGCAGTCAGATCGGGGTGTCGCTTCAGAACGCAACAACTGACAGCACCTTGGGTCATCCCTTTGTCGCTGACAATGTACCACCTGTTGGTCTTTTCATCATAGCACTCCAGATTGCAGAATAAGCCGCCATTGTGGTAACCTCCAACCACATACAGCTGGTCCTCCAGCACTGCAATGCCGAAGTTTTGACGAGGGTGTAACATGGGAGCAACGTTGCGCCAGCGTCTTGTTCTTGGGTCATATGCGATGACACTACGCAACTGAGTGATACCGTTAAAGCCACCAACCTGTGCAGACAAAGGACTTGTTACAGTCTGTAACGTAAAAATGTTCTGTTGTAAAAAAGTAAATAGGTCTCCAGATTCCAAAATATCTGATTCTAGGGTAATTATAGAAATCACATTCCAATAACCCAGTACATGGTACTTGGAAAATAATACAGACTCCCAAATACAGGTACAGTAAACATTCCATGTTTGAATTTCTGTCCGTAATAAGAGTATGTTTTAAGCTCTTCTTACTACAAAGATTTCGTTATTGTAGGCGACCACGGCTCCCCCAGTCCTCCCGGTTTCCATGGGTGTGATCAGTGTCCACTGGTTGGTGTCAGGGTTGTAGGACTCAGCACATGACAGAGGTTCATCTTCAGTAAGACCACCACAAATGTACACCTAGAAATTAAAATCAAGTTTAAGTCAAAATTACTAGTTAGTTTGTTTGCTTGCTTGTTTTAATCAATTTTAAATCATGCCTTTTATCTGTTTTTGTTTCTAATGTCTCTGTAAAGCACTTTGAATCACCTTGTTGTTGAATTGTGCTATACAAATAAATTTGCCTTGCCTTGCCTTACTAGAATTAAATGTTTCAGCTTCCAGAAAAAACTTACAAACACTAAAAATGTCTGTGAAGGTTCTCAGTCATCCAGGTCATCGTATTCTAAGGAGCTTGGAAAGAAAAGCATCTGGACTTCTTTAAGTTGCTTGAAGACTTTTCACCTCTCATCCGAGAAGCTTCTTCAGATCTAAGAGTCAAATGGTGGAGAGTCCCAGATTTAAGCCCTGTGGGAGTTTCCCCCCAAGAGGGACAAAGGACCCCCTGATGATCCTCTACCTAATTACATGAGCCAAGGTGTGAAAGAGGGTGTGGGTCACAATCAGCCAGGGTTTCAGGTGAGCTCATTGTGAAACCTGGCCCCACCTTATCAAGCGAATTCCTGAGATCAGATGGCCCAGGATGTGAGTGGGCGTTAAGACGTCTGGGAAGGGAACTCAAAACTGGATTATAGATGGCAGACAGCTGGTGTCGTAAGCCACCGCCTCTGTTCAAAGATGGTCGCTCACAGTGGTCATAAATGGCTTCTTTCACTCCTCTTTCAAACAATCTGTCCTCCCTGTCCATAATGTGAACATTGGCATCCTCGAAAGAGTGACCTTTGTCCTTTAGATGCAGATGGACTGCTGAGTCTTGTCCCGTGGAGGTGGCTCTTCGATGTTGTGCCATGCGCTTGTGAAAAACTAAAAATGTTTTCATCAGATTTCTGTGTAGCTACTTTGCATAATAGTAGTAAAAATCTAAAAATGATGGTGTTATCCTAAAACATTTAGTTTTAGCAGAGGTTTGCTGCATTTATTTTCTGTATTTTGCAGACTTAAAAAATATGGATGCAGAAATTATAAAATTGCTATTTTTCACGATGTGAGGGTGAAGTAACCATAACCTTCTCCCTGAGCTGTTGGATTAATGGTAATAGAAATATTTAGCTTAAAAATAAAATATTATAAAACTGATACAATTCATAAACTATTCATATTTTCCACAGAAAGGTCCAGTGATGATTAAGCCCTCAAGCTGAAAAGTACATTTGCAAATCAGTGCCATGTTAAGCAAAACAAATAAAACAGGAATAAAGAAATTGCCAAGCCATAATATTCTTTTAAAAAAAAAAACATATATTTACTGAGATTAAATTAACAAAAAGATCCCAACCGAACCAAAAAAAACCCCAAAACAATCCTTTGCAGGATTGTTATAAGTTTGCAAGAAAAAAAGTACCAACCAAGGAAAGAATGTCTTTCTCAATACTCATGACATAAATCTAAAAAAAAATATTCACTTTTTAAAAATTACTCCCATTGGCCAGCTTTATAAGACTATTAAAAAAATGTTTTTTTGCACAGAAGCTCACAGAAAAGTAATATTTTACTGTGGGCTCATGTTCCAGTGCATAAATGCGTTGGTTGGCTGGCTCCAAAAGATAATAAATCCCCATATGTTGTAAATCCAACTACATAGCCTTAAAAATCATTTTTACAGCCAGACACAAAAGACCAAAAAAAACCTAATCCATATGGATAGCGTCCTGGCTAAAATTTGGGTTTGTGACTGCTTTGGGAAGTGTACTTCCCAACCCCCCTGAGCCAAGGTCACCCCGTTTGTGGGGCGACCTTGGCTCAGGGGGGTTGGGAAGCGTATCTGTAACCGGAAGGTCGCTGGTTTGATCCCTGGGCTCTCTGTCCTGATCGTTGTGTCCTTGGGCAAGACATTTTACCCTACCACCTACTGGTGATGGCCAGAGGGGCCGATGGCGCGATATGGCAGCCTCGCTTCTGTCAGTCTGCCCCAGGGCAGCTGTGGCTACAACTGTAGCTGCCTCCACCAGTGTGTGAATGTGAGAGTGAATGAATAGTGGAATTGTAAAGTGCTTTGGGTGCCTTGAAAAGCGCTATATAAATCCAATCCATTATTATTAATCTATTATTACTGACAGATTAAGGCATTGGCATCTTTTGGTGCATTTCTAATGGAATTATTTGACTGTACATTTTATTGACGCAGCTTGTTAACCAAGGTTGTTAGCATTACCAGTTAACTTTGTCCACCACTTTCTCCACAAAACCAACATGGCAGAGATCTTCCACTACCTCAATTCCACTTACCTTGCCGTGTAGTGTTGCAGCACCAGCTTCTGCCCTGGGCTTGTGCATCGATGCAATCATAGTCCACTGGTTGGTGTCAGGCTCATATCGTTCTGCATTTTTCAGTGTCTTTTGGTATTGGCACCCGCCCATAGCATATATGCAGCCATTCAGTGTGGCCACACTGAGAAAGCCCCGCTCTTCATGCATCGGCCCCACCTCTGTCCAGGTTTGGCTGGTGAGGCTGAACCTTCTCACATGACTTGAAAAGCTTGTGAAATCAAAACCTCCGATGCAATAGACACATCCATTGAGGTAAGCATAACCGTAGAATCCCCGATACGGTGTCAAGCTCAGCGGCACCCAGTAGTCAGCTCGGACATTGTACATCTCAATCTTGTTACTTGGTAAAGGACCACCAACGGCCAATAAGACTTCAGACGGCAGGCGTGTTTGGGGTATAGGTCTCTCCACAATGGACTCATTTAGCATCTTCATGGCAGTGGTTACCATATCCATGCATGCCGGACTACTACTCACCACATCATTTCTGCTCACAGTGCCAACCAAGTACTCAGTGGGTATTAATAGTAGGCGGACCTGGATGAAAACAAGAATCATAAGGGAAAAAGGCAAGAAATACAACATTAGACTGTATATAAGAGTTGGATGTAGCCACCATGCCACCACCCATTAGTGAAGTATAGCACTATCCCTATAATCAAAATGTCATGGAATCACCCAGATAGCTATGGTAGCTCCTGGCATTGCCTCCAATCAGCTGTGGCATTGCCCTTAAAGACCCTAACATTACCTGTAAAGAGCCACAGCATCACCTGCCAAACAACAAAGGCAGGTCATGGCATTACCTCCAAACAAGCAGTGGTGCCACAGTCAAGTTTCAATGCCATTATCTGAGCACTGAGTAACCTCCTGCTGTAGAAACAGGTCCCACAATGAGGGTTTGTCCTGTTGTAAATGCCTAAGGTCCAGTCAGTAAGTTCTGGCAGAACACTATGGGCATAGTCAACTTTTCTGTCAGAAAAGCTAAAGTGCAGTTCAGACACATTATCAATAATGCACTTCTGAAACTACAAATCAACGGCCAGTTTTATCTGGACGCAAGTGTAAATAATACTTTTACAATTTATTAAGGACTAAATGATGAGCACCTTCTGATGCACACTCCCAAGTGAATTAGAAACACCCCCCCCCCCACCCCACCCCCCAATGTGATTAAGAATGAAGAAGAATGATTCCCCTACATTAACTCTATTACCAAGCCTTAAGTTTGAGTAATTCTGCCATTGCAATTTTAGCTTTTTACACGTCAGCCATAAAAGGCTGATGGGCGAGCAGGTGGGCGGCCTGGACACCCAACTCTGTAAACACAATAGTGTACAATCAAACTTCTTTTTTTTTTGCATCAGGCATCAAGCTTATGTTTTATTTTTTATTCCCAATTCAAATTGCTACAGCGGAAGTTGCTTTCTATACTTTCAAACTGTACCATTCATTCAACAGCCCCTCACTGAGTAATAAACAAAATAAATGCACTTAGAGGAGCAATTAAATTGATATCCCATTTTCAGTTACCTGCTTGAGCAGTGCGGGCATGTCACACCCACGTTCCACAGGGGAATAGTTGATCCATCTGAGAATGGCCTCAAACACAGTGCTCTCCTGCTTCACATTGAGCTCATCATTCTCGATAAGATCTGATAGTTGCTGCACAGAGAGCTGAAGGAACTCCAAGGAGAGTGCACCAACCTCTTCAAAGTGATGGAGGATGTAGAGAAAGGCCTTTCCCCTGAGGTCAGGACAGTTGTGTAAGTGTGCCAGATTGTAGATACTGACGCAGTTATTTACACAAAGCTTCCTCTCCAGGAAGTCGCAGCAGGCTTGAATGATGCCAGTCACGATAAAGTGGTCTGCTTCCGCCAACAGCTCCAGTACATTGTCCTCCGTCACCACAACAGATTGGGTATAGGCATATTCCAAAATGAGGCTCATTGCTTTTGGAGACACAGTGGGGAAGTTGTAGACCTTGTTTGATGGTAGTGGTTTGTAGCAGAAGAGATCCCTGTGCAGATTCAGATCAGCATTTTCACATTGTCTCTCTGTCATGGAACTTAAAAAGTACCTGATGTCGTGCAGCTCATAGTTAAATAGCATTTGTATAATTTTTCAGCTGCATGCTTACTTGAGCAAGCTGTGATCAAAGAGATATGAAATTAAAGTAACAAAAATCTAAAATGACTTGATTTCAAATGGGCAATCTCCTATTTAAGGTCATCTATTCAGACATGTGCAGAAAAACATTCAGCATTGCTGCTATGTTTAGACAGACAGAAAGATATAGAGTTGTCTAGGCATTGTAGCAAATATTCCTATACAGTAACAGGGTTAGAGCGACAGGGGACAGCAGGCATTAAATAGCTGCAAATATAATAACTGAATTTCACATTATCAAATTTACTGACTAGACAGAATTGGAAAGAGCGGACATGTCCCACTGCAACAGAAATGGCATATCATTGGCCACCTCTCAGTCTGGCCCTAAATTGATTACCTGCCTATTTAGACATACAATTTCAGCTAAACTGGTGAAGGCACAGCTAATATCACCACTGATGTGGTCCTTTTGGTGCAGGCCAGTTTGTGCACAAATTTATTAGAACTGCTGCTGCTGTTGTCGTGCTGATGAAATATAATCAGAAAGCCAGTTTATAGCGTCTGTAATCTTTCAAACTACCTCTTAACGGCTCATTGTGGAGTCAAACACAAACCTACACTATATATGTATCCCAACAAACCTCCCAAAATAAATAACTAAATAAAAATACAGGACTGATTTTTTTTTCCCCCCTAAAAATTGCTCCAGAACATTTCTAGTGATCAAAAAGTACAGTGTAACATTGAAACCTCCCAATACCTGCTGCACTGTGTTACATGAAAACTTTGAAGTAGGATAAATGCAGAACCAAACCACAGCCAAACAACACAGGCCTGCTCACCTGAAGTATGCACTGCAGTTACAGAGGATGATCCTGTGAATTTTAAACTCAACATCTCCAGCTCGGATCACAGAGTCACAAACCTGTCCATCCAGAAAAAGCTCCCTAAAGACGGTACTACGGGCGCTGGTCATTATTCAGATGTTACTCAAGATGTTTAAACTTCTAAAAAATCTCCTGTTTAGTGTTTTCCTTTAGAGAGCCGCCTACAGTTTGTGAGGTACTTTGTCTAAATTACTGATTACGTTAACTTATGCTGCCTGGAAAGTGTCACTACTCTGTTTATATTTGAAAATCATAGTGCATCATTCCGTTAATTGACTGTGTGCACGTTAGCATATGCTACTTCCGGTGCGGAAACGCCTTTGGGGAGCTTTGTTTCCGGTGTCCTATTCGCGCCTGGTTTACGGTCCAAAACAAGTTAAGCAAATGAATGAATCAAGCAGCGATTTACATTTCTATAGATGTCTTGGGCATTTACCCAATATATCTGTAAATGATGTTCATCGATTTGTTAATATTTTTCCCTGCACCTCAGGGCAAAAGAGAAAAGGGATTCAAATGTTATATTTCTCAGCTGTCCCTCGTTTACAGCGGGTGTTATGTTCTAAAAATAACCAGCGATAGGTGAAATCAAGTAGCCAATTTTATTTTTTGACGCTGCAAAACGTTTCGTGGACATCCAGTAGTGCACTTCAGAGTCACCCTGCTAGCAATCGATGCAGCGATTCTGCACTGTACAGGAGAGACGTCACGGAGGAGATCGTCTGCAGTAGGGCTGCACGATTTTGCATAAAATGAGAATCACGATTTTTTGGCTTAGAATTGAGATCACGATTCTCTTTTCCAGTATAAATATTTATTACACTTATTAACTGCACATCAACTTCGTAACAGTTGAGACTGAACATAAAAACAATAAATAAACATAAAAACAACAAATGTCTCACGTTTTGTTGTTGCCGCAAAATGTTGTACTGCTTGAAATTCCGTCTCCACCATTGCTCGACACTGCGTGTATAGAGCAGGTAGTGCAACAATAGAAAAATAGTTGCGGGACAGCGTTTGTCTAGGGTGTTGATCATTTTCCTAAATCCCTCGTTTTGCACAGTGTTGATGGGAGCCATATCTTTGGTCAGGTGATAAGTGATAGCCTCCGTAATTTCTTTGTGCCTGCGGAAGTTCAGCGTGTATAGGGAAGTGCTGTATAAGGTTCCCGTTATTGATGTTTGGGTGGTTGACCGGGGCGGATTTTCTCCTGTCACTTTCTCGTCATCCCTGACGTGCTCTCCGTTGTTTTTCCCCTGCTAATTTTAGCATCCCACGGCGCAGCTTCTGTATCACGTGGTATAAGGCTCCGCCCTTGTCATTTGTTGAGCAGAAAGAGTGAGCGCTTGTTTTCATGCAGATTACGTCCCGGATCAAAATGCGGTACAATCGTCGTCGTCTTTTTTTTTCTTTTTCTTTTTTTTTTAAATCGTTGTCATTTGGAAATGAGATCGCACATAAATATGAATCGAGATTGTGATTTTCTAATGATTAATCGTGCAGCCCTACTGTGTAGGTGTGTACTTGACTAGCTGATCTCGACATAATGGGGGAAACATCTGGTTTGACTATTCTTCACCTGTAGTTTGAATGCTGAACATCTGCCTGTTTAAATCACGAGACCAGTCACTATACAGAGATGTGCTTCTGAATGTGGACGATGTGTCTTCTGCATGCAGTAATGCAGTTCTGCTTGTGTTGAGTGATGTAAACAACTGATCGATCTAAACTCTTTAAACGTAAAAAATTGATCATTAGATTTTTTATGACACAACAGCGGTGAGTGTTCCCACCTTCTGCTCTTTGTAACTTAACGCGATCTTTCCGTTTTTGAGTTTTGGACATGATTTTGGAGTATATCTTTGCAGTAGCGATTGACCGCAAAGTCAAGCTACCGGAAATGTACAACCCCACATCCGGTCTCAAACCAGGAATTTAGCATTTTCTCGTACACAGGGTCAATTTGGTTCCACATATTTGTGTGAGCAAACATTCTCTGTCATGAACTTAAACAAGAACCGATTGAGATCAAGGATGAGTGACTCCCACTTGCGTGATATTTTATGCATCTCAACCACTGCCCTCAAAGCACACCTAATTGCTTTACTAAAATCTAGATCTCAGTATCACCCCTCTCATTAGTCCAGGGATGCCCAAATTCTGTACTGGAGAGCTGCTATGCATGTTTTAGTTCTTTCTGGTTTAGCACAGTTGAATCAAATGAAGAGCAGGCCTCCAGGAGTGACATCCCTGCATTACTCATGTGTTTCTCAACAGTAAAAAGCATAAAGCATGCTAATGCAATACACAAAAGGAAACGTATTTTGTTAAACTCTTAAGACTCATCCAGGCTGGAGAAACTGATCAGGAAGGCTAGCTCTGTGGTCGGCATGAAGCTGGACACTCTGGTGACAGTGGCAGAGAAAAGGACATTAAAGAAACTGCTGGACATTATGAACAATGCTGGGCATCCTCTGCACATGGCCATAAACAATCAGAAGAGTCTGTTCAGTGACAGGTTGCTTCTCCCCAAGACAAGAACTAACAGACTTAAAAACTCCTTTGTCCCACACGCCATCAGACTGTTTAACTCCTCTCTGGAGGGGAGAGGGAGGGGAAACAGGAGGACAAAGGAGGGGGGAACAACTAAGCTGTAGTGCCTCTTCACCTCACTGTACAATACCTTGTGCAATACTTTTTGTAAATAGTCAACAGTGCAATAGACTCAATACTTGAAATGTGCAATTCACTTGTATTTTTATTTTTTATTCCTATTTATTCTATTTATCCCCTTTGTATATTTTATTTATATTGTTTCTGTATTTATATATGTGTGTGTGTGTGTGTGTGTGTGTGTGTGTGTGTATATATATATATATATAACAATTCTGTAACTGTAACTTCGGTCGTTGCTGTGCTTTTTTTTTTTTTGGAAGTCGAATTTCCCAGAGGAACCCACCCGAGGGATTAATAAAGTTCTATCTTATCTTATCTTATCTTATCTTAGATTTGGTTTTAACTGTTGATGTTATGCTCTTAATTCATAGTTGAGTGTGTTGTGTAAATATTGTGTAAATTTACAAATGTGTTTATTTCTTGCAGCAAGTGAACTTCCAGTTGTGCAATCTTCCAGTATGTGAAAAACTTTGGCTTCCTGAAAGGTCTTGTAAAAGTCAAAGGGCGAAATTCACTTTAAAAAAAACTTTATTGATAACAGAACACTTTTCATTACTTATAACGCCTGTTTAAATGTTCATTAGGCAAAGATATTGCAAACTCATGGAAATTTAGGGTATTCTATACAGTCTGTTCAATGTTGTCTGACTCTCCAGATATAAATGAAAGGCCGAATTGTGTCTTTAGAGTTGTAAATGCTTGCCTGAGTGTCTTTTATTTAGGTACATTTCTATTTTAAAAATAACGGGTAATTGTGACTATTAAAATTGTTCTTCATTATATTTTCATGTAACTTTGTTATGAAAAAAAAAGTCAAAAGGAACCATTGGCCCCCAGGCGTCTTCACTTTATAAAATTTGGCCCTCTTTGCAAAAAGTTTGGACACCCCTGGCCTACATAATAAGAAGTACACACTTGGAGTTTTTTTTTAAATTAAAAAAACTGTTCGATACTAGGGCTGCCACGATTAGTCGACTAGTCACGATTACGTCAACTATCAAAATCGTCGAAGACTAATTTAATAGTCGACGCGTCGTTTGAAGCTTTGTAAGATCCCAAAAGACGCAGGAATAAGTAGTAGGATTTGAGAGTGTAATAACGGACTGAAACAGAAGATGGCAGCACTGCATGTACAACGATGCCAGCTGCCGTTAAACCCCGAAGAAGAAGAAGCAGTGTCCCAGAATTCATAGCGCGGCCCTGCTCAGTTTCCAAAAATGGCAGCAGCTAGTTAGTTTTAATATTACTCTTATTATTCTTTCTGGGTCACAAAATAAATGTTTAACATATTTCAGGAGAGAATGTAGCTGTGTAAACTTCAAATATCTGCTCAGTTTATCAAGACACCACATATTTTCAAAAGCGCCCCGACATTTTCGGAGACGTCTGTTACCCACTAGCTCGATAGCTAGCTGGGGTTCAAGGCTCACTAGAGCCGTGAGAACACCGGACTCCTGGCAAATCGTTTTCAAACCCACCGCCGTCTTTCGCTACTCAGGTTAAACATGATATATAAGTCACTTAGATAACTTAAAAATGTTATTGTTTGGGTTTTTTCAGTATTTTATTTGTTCCTGAGTAAATCGGTTTGGCTGAGATTAAAGTTATAGTTTATACAGTCATTGGTTTTTACACAGCTGAATAAACGTCAACCAGACAGCTGATCATCAGAAGTGTGAGATGCTCGAGAATATACTCCGGTGCCCTGTTATATTTTAGATAGCAAGGAGCAGACGGCTGAGTTTATTAAACTTCACCAAAACAATCTGCAAATTTAATTAAAATTTAATAAACTATCATCTTGTCTTTATTTTTTAGTTAGCACATACACTTAAAGCTGTAAGCTAATGATAGTTATATTAGAGCAGATGCATGCTGGTGCAGTAAGCTCTGTGTTGCATGATCTGATTAGTGGACTAATCGCAAAAATAATCGGGTGACTAGTCGACTATCAAAATAAACGTTTGTGGCAGCCCTATTCGATACTGTCAATCATGAAATTCTAATAAAAAAAATGGAAAGTATGGGTTTAGGGGAGTGGTTTTGGACTGATAAAAAGCTATGTAGTGAATAAGCAACAATATGTACAAATAAATGAGTAGGAATCTAAATTGATGGATCTTGCTTGTGACATACCTCAAAGATCAGTATTAGGTCCAAAAGAATTCATGGATTCTTTATTGTCATTCGCATCACATGTTTACATGAGGTGGAACGAAAATTACGTGCAGCGAAAGAAACAGAGTAACGAAGAAACAGAATAAAAAGAAAACAGAATAACAAGTAATAAGTATTACAATTAAATCTATGCAATATATCGGGTGTGACTGCTTTTATTTTCTATTTCTGGTACAATACTAGCCTGCAAGCAGGAAAGAAATGATACGGCAGGGAGTACATGTAACATTATGAGAAAACAGTGCTGAGCATGCTTCTGACTACTAACAACAGGCCAAACCATGGTCTCACACTGCCACCTACTGGTACAAAAATGGAGCATCAGCTACAAATATCCCAGACTAGTTACCAGGTCTATAGTTAAAACTAGTTAATTTAGAGGATTTTCAAAAGAAAATATCACTTACATTTAAAATAAAATAGCTTAAATATAAGTTAATTCACATAAATG